TCTAATGGAGGGCAGGGAAGGATCTCTGTGGTGATTAATAGAGAGCAGTTTTGTTTTCAAAGCATTAAAGTTGACCAGCCAATTCCTGCCCCAGTTCACAACCGATTGGAGGTCCTTTTTGAGACGCACGGCCAGGTTAGTTTTGTCAGTGACACTAGATTTGTTTTTGAGGCAGGAATAAATTGTGGTGTCATCCGCGTAGATGCCAACTTGGGAATTTATGGCGCCAGGAAGGTCATTTATGTAGATAAGGAATAGAGTGGGGCCTAGGATGGAGCCTTGAGGAACACCTGCGTTCGTGGGATAGGAACTGGAGGAGAATCTGTTGAGAACGATCTTCAATTCACGGTTTGACAGGAATGATTGTATTAGGTCAAACAATCAACCCGTAATGCCATAACCCTGGCGCTTGCAAAGAAGGCCGGCATGCCAAACCCTATGAAATGCTTTGGAGATGTCTAGGGCCATGGCATGAGCTTCCCAGTTATTTTGAAGAGCTCGGTAGATAGTTTCAGCGATGGCCGTAAGCACATCAGCTGTAGATCAGGCAAAGCGGAAGCCATATTGCTTGTCTGAGAGCAGATCATGGGATGTGAGGTGGTTAACCACCTCGGTATTGATTAGGGCTTCGAAGACTTTGCCGAAGAGGGGTAGGAGACTGATAGGACTGTAGTTAGAAGGGTTAGAGGGGTCGCCAGAGTTCTTGAAGACAGGAACAATTGAAGAGGACTTCCAGCGGTCAGGAAAACAAGATTCCTTGAGGCAGTAATTGTATAGTTTAAAAAGGGCGGGCGCCAGTTCAGGCACGCATTTCTTCAAGACAATGGCTGGTATCCCATCTCCACCACTAGCATTGTTGGGGTCTTAATTGGAGATAACGCCCAATACCAAAGACGGGGCTATGTGTAACCCACTCAATAGGGCGTCAGTTCTAAGAGGGAAGTCGGGTATGGGTACACCAGAAGAGTCAAGCGTCAAGTTGAATGAAAATTTCCAAGCAAAGCATTCAGCCTTGTCGGCAGAGGAGGTCAGGACTTCGAACTAGTTGAACAATGGAGGTATAGAGGGTTTGCAATTGTTCAATATGCTCTTGGAGAGACGCCAATAATCTTTGGAGCCAAATTTGTAAGATGCAATACACTCCTTCATCCGAACAGCAAATAGTGACTTATCGTTGAGGACACGCTTACACTTGTTACAGGCGAAGGCAAAGAGACGTCTATTGCAGTCAAACATGTCGCTACGGAATAGGTGAAAGAAGTGGTTCCTATGGGCGATGGCGACTGAGCAAGCAGCGGAGAACCAGGGGGAGGAGCGCGACTTGACCCTATATTTCCTTGAGGGGATGAAAGCGTCGATTCCAGCTTTAACCCAGGATGAGACCTCAGAAGCACATTCTTGGACTGTGAGCATAAAGACACTATCCCAGGTGGACATTGCGGAGGAAATCACAGAACGCGTCCCAGTCAGCTCGTTGATAGTAAAACGAAGTTCTAGTGGTAGGAGGTTCTTTGCAGAGTTGAAGGAGATGTTAACAGATACTACTGCATGATCAGAGTTACCAAGAGGGCAGAATTGCGTAGCACCACAGGACTCAGGGATGGAGGTAAAACACAGATCGAAAAGAGAGGCTTTGCCTTCCCAGTTGAAGGCAAAACGAGTGGGGAAGTTAACTATCTGCGTGAGGGATTGAGAGACTGAAAAATTGTGCGTTTGAATGCCTGCGTGGTCAGTAGTAACATTCTTAAGCCATATGGTATGATGGGCGTTAAAGTCACCAAACACAAATATGTGAGCACACGGGTTGGAGAGAGAGAGAGCCTTGTCTATGCTGTCAGAAATCCATTCATTTTATTATTAATTTTGACATTTCATTTATGGGAAAATATAACTGAGATAAGTGATATAAGATCACATAAATTTCATAGGATAGGTATCTAATAATTGTAGATACTATTCTCAGTTGAAATTGAAAAATCAAATTAACTTCTCCATGCGTGTTTCACATGAACAATTCACAAAACTAAAGGGCGTAACAAAGGGGAATAATGTGATGTTTTATTGTTTTCATGTACAGTCTTCCATATATTTGAATTACAGGTGTTTTATGGACACAAAAGCCATGCAAAAACTACAGTAGGTACACTAACAGTACCCTATATAGGCCTACTGTAACATTATAGTAGGCCTATATATTTCGCGTTTTCCGGCTGCCATTACTGGCATTGTTTACATAAAAGGAGAACTTCATTTGTTTTCTTTTTAATCCTTTCAGGCACATAATTTTGATGTTATCTTTCATCTTTACTAATATATTTGGAATTGTGACATTTTTTGCTCTTGGGTTACTTTTAAAATTTTGCACATTCATTTTAAACTTTGCACAGTAATCAACATAAGTGAAGCTTCTGCACATGAGTAATCAAGGTAAACGTATGTAAACAAAGCCAGTAATGGTGGTTGTTCTGTCTACATGACAAGAAAGAAATCAAACTTACATTGTCCATAACTTCTAAACAGTAATCGAGTGCAAATTTTTAATGTCATTTTCGAAATAATCAGGCAATTTTACACCAGAATGGTACATTCTCATTACTGGGGACTTTTGGTGCTTATATTGCAAAAACCTTAATAATAATAATAATCTCTATGGGAAAGGTTTTATGAGAAATCTATGAATTAATCTGATGTTGGATTTTTTTAATAAAATTTATCACTTGAAAAGGTTAACCAAAAATTAGTCTGGAAATGTTTACAATTATTAAGTTAAAAGTAACCAACCATTATTATATTGTGCACCTGATTTTCTTTAATTCAAGTTTCAATAAGATTTATTTTTGAAAGATTTTCAAAACAAACAAATTATTTTTCCTACTTGAAAAAAAAAAAAAAAAAAAAAAAAGACAACACTTATTCATGATGTTAAAATGTAAACATGCTCAAAAGTTATGTTCAAAAAATCAACTCACATTTTTTTTATGGCAAAGTTTTTTTCTAGTGCATATTTTACTTAAGTTATTCCCTTAAATTTTTTTTTAGGCCAGTCAATTATAAAAGTGCTTTTTCATCCAGAAATTAAATGTTCAAACTTAAATTTCTAATCATGATATCTCCCTCACCCCCAATGAAAAATGTATAGTGAATCCTCACTATGTTGAGATGAATACGTGTAAAGTGAGCATCATGGTTGCTAAAGGTACCAATAGGGGACTTGGTGTGTCAATGCACCTTACACATCTGGCACTCTAAGCAAGTTGAGACCCAGTGACAGACATCCGAGTTCATATTAAGCCACACAAAACGATCTGCAACCATCTTGACCATGGCTCGCTTACTAGGATGGGATAATCTGTGCAGGTATTCAAATACAAGTTTTCTCAAAGAAGGCTGGATGTAGTGCCTAGGCAAACTTAATGCCAGCAAATGGGTTTCAAATTGATAGAGTGCCAGAAATGTAAGGTGCATCAACACACCAAGTCACCTATTGGTACCTTTAGCAACCCTGATGCTTGCTTTCCACATATTCATCCCGACATAGTGGGGGTCCACAACAAATTGGTGACCATGATATGATAGTTGAAGATAGGCCGAAATAAATGTACTGTCCAGTGCAGGAGTTGATGAAATCCATGATGAAGCAGTGAGAAAATAAAAGCCAATGATGTGTTAATGTCCAAACAATGGACATTCAATAGTATTTAATCCAAGTGTATGGAATAGGTTGTTTGAAATCTGGACAATATACACATAGCAGTTTCTTATGAAACCAGGTGAGTTAGGTTGAGATAGGAATGCCAGAAGTAGGGACCTATGCCTAGCCTGAAATTCAAAGCTGCTGTAAGCAGGCCCATTAATGCCAAGCAACCAGCTGAGCTAGATTGAAATAGGGATGCCAGAAGTAATAAGGGTCCACGAGTAGCCGGAAGTAGAAAAGCAGATGTGGCTGGTGTATGCGCAGGTCAGGAAAGGCAGAAGTAAAGTAAAAATGCTGGAAGATAAAGGACTGTAATAGTTGAAAATAATAAGGGCCAGGAGTGCCGGGGAAGTGGACGCCGGGTCGAGGGGGGATTTTTTACAACTAGCACCCACTTGGCAGTAGAAAAATAAATGGAATGTAACTCAATACAGAACCTATCCAAGTGCCCTGATCACAAAGACCAGAGGTCTGGATTCCTCCTCTTCCCTCCCTCCCTTCTTCAGTGGCGAGAGGTCATAGGTTTATATCACAAAGATGTATTGAAATAGAGGAAAAAAAAAAGAAAAAAAAATGGTTTATGATATTCATCTTTTTCTTTTTATCCCACTAATAAAAAGTTATAAAAACACAATACACATATAAACAACATTGATAAACTTATAGATAAATCAATTTCCTTTCATTTGATGTATGGTTTAACAGGATTCTATGGGCTTGATTTTATGAGTGTCTTTCCATGCAAAAATGCTCTTTTAGTGATGTTTTACAAGCAATGAGCATTCTATGTAGCCAATAATTCTTAAGAATCATAACTTCTACATTTTTGACATCCTCTTCATTTGAAAGAAGTCCAGAATATAAAAAAAAATGATAACTTATTTTTTTTTTCTTTACTCAGCACATAAAAATAGCATCATGTGCAAAATACAATTACAAAAAACAAATGCTCATGGCTATTTTGAAAGCAATACCAAGCAATCTTATCATAAGAAACATTACAAACTGTAAACCTGCAATATTTTTTCTTTTTATTAAATATATATTATTTTAAATAGTTCGGATACAAAACTTCATAATCACCAAGAAATTTGTGGCTACAATTGTTTTGTGATGTGAGGGTCAGCATAAAAAAAAAAATATCCTGCCATATCCATTATTCAGCAAACGGATTGATTACAGAAAAATTATCAGATAAAAATGACTTTACAAAAGCAAATAAAAAAATACAACTTGCAAACATTTGGCTAAGAAAAGAAATTTAGAATTGTCCTACTTGAAACAATAAGTTGACAATAATACTTACACGATAGCGGTGCTTCTTGTGAACACTTTGTTGAAAACAGTTGATGCATAGTACACAAGTGAGATCATTGGCACAGTCCCTAAGAAAAAAAATATTTAGGATAGAAATTAAGACAATGACACAAGGAAACTGTATGTTTTTTTTTGGGGGGGGGGGCAATTATTATCAGATATTTCTTGCTATCTATATCCTATTTCCAAATTTTGAATAGGATGCTTATCTTGATATTCCACACCTTTCATTAAATTTATCAACAGAAAAATATTGAAGTCATCCGGATTAAGTATATTGTCTTATAAACATCAGTTTTAATTATTCTATTATTTAAATTTCAATCCAAATGTTCTTAAAGAGCAAACAGCTTTTATATCCTATTAACATTGCTTTAGGTTTAAGGATAAACATTTATGCATCACACATTGGGTTTACCATTTTAGCATTTTTGAAAGATTTCCTAAATAATATGTGCTATATCTAGTCTGAAAGTAGAATCTCAGAATTGGTCTAATTTTGTCCTAACTCCAAGTATTAAAGTTACAATTGAAATTAACCAAAACTCAACACATATTTAATCATTTACTTTTAGATGATCAGTTATGGATAATTGCTTTTTCTGCCTTTCTTTATTAAGAAAGTCGGTGAAATCTTGTTGAAATAAATGTTATAAGTGACAGGTTTAACCTGACACTTTTTCAAAACTGACCTATATCAACTGGATTCGAGTGTACCTAAAAACACAAAATTCAGTTAAACTAACACTATTTTTTGCCAGCTTTACTCTGAACACCCAATTTTGAATAATGTGAACAAAAAGTACCCAAAACAAATTTTCTCTCCTTTTTAGTGTAAGTTGCCAAATATTAAAACAATTTAAATCAGCAAAATGTAAGAAAATTGTTCTTAGGAAGATATTTAAAACATACAATAAGTTGATCATTACCCACTTTTGGCACCATATGCTGAAAACCAAATATCAATTTTTGACATAACTTTCTTTTTCTTTGTCAAAAACTCATGATTGAGATCATGTTTTGTTTTTTTTTTTGGGGGGGAGGCTGAATTGGTTTTTAGTGCTGAAAGTTCCCTTAGAAAGAAGTCTAAATTAATGGGTTAAATGCAAGAATTCTGGTTCTTCACTGTAGACAAAGGATTCCAGACGTAATCTCTATTTTTCCTTTAATTAGAAGTGTGAAATTTTTGTTTTAATCTCCCTCTTAATTACAATATAGTTTGAGCAAAAAAATAATTCAGGGGCTCAAAAGCATAATTGTCAACATGGCTCTATAACAGAGCAAAGATGATACCAAAAACACTCATCTTATAATTTGCTAACTGATAAAAGATCATTTGAAACAATTAACTGTCCATAATTATTATTAGTTTTAATTTAACATTTTAAAAACAAATGCAGACACATGAACAATAAATAATTCATTCAAAGATAACTACTAAGAAAGATTGATATTTTCTAAATTAAATTTAATAATGATTGAATCTCAAATGGGTAAAAAAATATAAAGTCATGCTTTTTACTTGAAATTTGGGAATTTCATTAATCCCTACTTTAAAAACAAATCATTTTAATAATCATAAAAACAAAAGTTTTTAAGTAAGCGTTCTCAAAGCAATTAAAAAAAAAAACAAAAAAAAAAAAGCACCACCAAGTGTACTTTGTCTATCATTTGGAACAATTTTTCAATCACTTTCACTTCCTTGTCACAATCTATACATATTCATAAAATCATGACAGAAACATGAACCTACTTTGGTAACCTTTACAAATGCATACACACAGAAACTATTTATCACAGATTACATTCCAGAAGTACCCAATGAAGATAGAACTCACAAGTCATAGTACAAACAAGTGACCTAAATTATGAAACAATAATTTCGATTAGTCACTGAATTATTTAAATGAAATCTAATATGAAAGGAGTAGTTTTAAAGTGCAATGTGATACATTGTCTAAATCAGCATTTGACAAATACAAAAATGAAATCAATTCAAAATCCTTGTAAGATATTAAGAAATTTTGAAATATGTGAAAACCTTTTCAAAATAAAGAAATTATCAAAATTATTTTCTAAAAGACACACACACAGTGCACAATATCAAAGCCTAACTTTTTCATCAAATCATTCATTTGGATATTTCCACTGTATAATTTTTGATTTGATTAACAGCATATCAACTCCTTATGGGTCACCCACTACATGAAACCAGATATCTTACCATATAGAAAATAAAACAACAAGAATCAGTTATTTTTGTCAATCTTTACTTTTTAATATACTTTATTGTACAGTAATGACTAATCATATTAAACACAAAAGAATTATTTCAACAGTGCCTTCATTCCTATTGTAAATGACAGGCATTGGAGCCAATTCAGGGTAAGGCTGTTTATTAAAAAGCAATTAGGCAGCAAGAATGTTTCACAAGTTCTACTCTTTTGTCCAGTTTGAGAGAGAGACACAAACAAAGTGAAACAAAAAACAAAACAGACAATAAAAGCATAGAAAAATTACTTGTTCATACCTAAATATAAACTGTTAAAGGTAAATCTGTTTCAAAATAGTGGTGTTCATTTAAATCAGATTAAAGTATAAAAGATATCAAAATTATGGTTTAATTCTTCAGAGCAATGTTAAGAGCATACAGAAAAGAAAGAAAGAAAAAAAAATCCAAATCTTAAGTTTAACTTGTATCAGAAACTAAATGCAAAATTGACTACAAAAAAAAAAAAAAAAAACTTGTATCAAAAACTATCACTGACAAAATTATAACATCAAACTATATCAAAAATAAGCAGGATTCAAAACTTATCTGACCTTAAATAACCCTATAGTGGTTGATGGACCATTAGGTAGAAATCAAACTGTTTAGGGTTAACAAAACAATTCTTCTCTAATGTATGGAGGTGCATAAAAAGTTCTTTGTTTAACGCACTTCTCAAAAGCCAATCAAACAGCATTTTTTTTTAAATCCTTTCTTGGTCAGAACTTTCAACACATTGTATATACTAAGACATCTTGCATAATTCAACTGGCTACAAATCTATGAGATCAAACAAGATGTCAATTGAAATAAAATATACTGATGGAAAATAAAACCATAAACCCTGAATGTTTTGTTTCTTAAATCATTTCACCCCCAAGCACTTACTGAATGTGGGATAACATGATTGATTGATGTATTTTCTATGGCTTATCAACTTTTGCAGACTATTTAAAGCCTGAAAATAATTTTAGATTATGAGATTGCTTTAATGATTTAATGATAGAAGTCTTACTAATTAACCCATAGATAGAGGGGGATCCATACCTTTCTCAAGGGTATTTGCATGTAAGTGAATATAACAAACCCAGCTAAAATATGGGAACCAGTGTTTCAAAGTGATGTTACCATGTAAATATTTACAGCAGTAGGAATGTGTTTGAAGCTGAGATAGCAGATCAGGATCAATAACATTGCAGGTTCTTTGTATTTTATCATGAATCTCTAAATACATAGCAGAAGCACCAGACCAGATATGACAGCAATATTCAATGCACAAACAAATGGTAAACTTATGTGTAAGAGATTCTGGCAAGAAAAATTGTCTAACATAACACAGTGTATCAACTTTCCTTGCAGCAGACCTAGCAATTGATTGAATATATTTTTTCCATTTCATATCACTGAAAAACATTAGCCCAAGAAGGCACAATGAGTCACTCTTCTGGAGGTTAGCATTAGCCATGCTGATGGAAGGCAAAAAAGATTCTTTAAGATGATTAAAAGAGAGCACTTTCATTTTGGAGACATTAAAATTAAGAAGCCATTTCTTGCCCCAATTAACAGATTGTAGGTCTTTTTTTTAGCAGTTTGACCTTATTGAACCAATCAAACTTACTATTAAGACAAGAATAAATAGTTATCTCATCAGCATAGATACTGATATCATGAAGGTTGCTGACGAAAAATCAAGACTAAAAGCAAAGTAATATAGCTGTATTACAGTAAATATTTATGTATAGAAATCAATACATGCACAGATTACAAAAAGTATATGTGACATTTCTATTGTTAGGATGGTCACAGAATAAGTCTTAGGGTACATCACTAAAGATATGTTCAGCAGGTGATAAGATGACAAGTATATATTTCTATTTACCAGAATGCAGCAGGCAGTGCTTTTATATACTGATGTCATAGATGTTTCTACTTTACTAGGATACTACAAAATGTATCAACAGTATTCAGAATCAATATTCTGCTACCATATTCCAGGCCTATACACGCATATCCATACCATTGTACAAAGGGGTGAATACCATCCTGCAAGATATTATTCCATACCTCTTGCACCTGTTGACAAAAAACAGCAAAAGTTGCAGGTGGGCTAATTGAACCATTGCCAACATCAAAACACTACCAGCCAGTCCATCATATCTAACATGAGCAGCAATTCTCCAAAATGACCATCCAATCTCTGGAATGCCCACAATCCAACATTTTCTGAAATGGCACTAATTAAACAAAAAGAGTATGTGTTCATTTTCAAGACATGACACTTGTTTGCAATGGACATTTACAGCATACATCACCATCCTAAGCTCAGAGATGGGATACTGGTATAATTGTTACTATATCACAAGATGGCCAAAAGCTGAAAATTTTATCAAAAATATCTACTGTCCCCTAGTATGCATAATGTACACAGGTCGAAACTGGCTTCATCCAAAAAGATGTTGCAATTTATTTTTCATCAATATACTTCATCTCATTGATAATTAGATATAATCATAACCAGATATGAAATCTGGAAAGTAAAAATTCATATAGTTGCCTATTAAGCAAGGCAGTAAGAGAACAGTGAAAAAAAATCAGAGAGACAAAGCCAGTGTAATTGCTCAGTTGTCACATCCTATACTGTTATAAATAAAGAGAAGGCAGTAGAGCAGTTAAATGATTTACCATGTTATAATAAAAATAGAGGATTGCTGTTGTTATTGTTGTAATAATAAGCAGAAATTTTGTTCAGCATACCAAGTTGACAAAGTCAGTAAACTATTATATGTTCATATCGTATTT